TTTCCGCCATTTCTCTTCAATTTTAAGTTCTTCTTTTTTTTCAAGTTTTCTTAAAGATGAATATATAACACATTATGAAAACCAAAAAAGAAATTAAAAAATATAAATCAAAATGAATATAAATAGATATGGTATTTTTGTATTTCAAGAAATGTTCAAGAAAACTATAAAAAATCATGAAAAAAGTTAAATAAAAAAAATTAAAAAAACTATTAAAAAGCTAATACACAACAAGTCAAGAATCTTCTAAAAACGAAAAGATATAAAGAGAACTAAAACTTGAAAAGAAAAGAAAGAAAAACTTAAATAATCTATTTGATGAGTGGAAGAAGAAGCATTGGAAGAAGAAAACATCAAGCAAGATATCAATCAGTTTATTCAAAAAAGGGTAAAATAAAAGAAGAAGAAGATGATGAATATGAAGATACAAGTATATCAGTAAATTGTTTGTTCAGGTATTATAAGATATTACAAGAAATATGACCAAAGTTTCTGAGTGTTTGAAATAAATTAATCAACAAAAATATATGTCTTTAGTGAATGACAACATTTGTGATTGTTTTATAATGAAAGTAAACAACTCACCTCTTAGCAGAAAATGAAGAAATTAATATGGAGGAAATGCAAGAAGAGCTTCATCATAAGTACCCAACAAATAGAAGACTTACAAGATCTATTGCACCAATAAAATTAAAAAAACCAAAAAAAGGTAATGAAGACACTGATACTTCTTTTATTGGAGATGAAGAAACACCAAAGAAAGTGAATAAAAGAACTAAAAGAAAATACACAAGGAGAATCAAAAAAGAAAATGAATATGACAAAACACTTATAAATACCGAAGAAAAAGAAGAAAAAATGGAAGAAGATAAAGATGTTGTTGAATTAATTGATGATCCTATTCTTCAATCAAGTATGAATGAAATAAGTGGAAGCAATGAGGAAAAAATAAGACAAAAAGTTGAAGAACTTAACGATATTACATTAGTTAAAACTGCAGAAAAAATTAATGTTCCAGTTAATAATAATATTATTGACCTTCGAACACAAAACTCGTATTTAATTGTATCAAAAGAACAAGCAGAAAGAATGTTTAATTTTACACCAGTCCATATTAGAAAAGGAAAGTATAGATTTCCAGGAACTGATTTATGGTATAACACAATTGAAGAATACAAAAAACTCCAAAAAGAATATAGAACAAATGAGGTTGTGTAAAATATTTAGATAGAGCTAAAATAATTCAGAATGCAAAAATAATTATTTTGTATGTAAAATGAATAAAATAGTTGTTATGATGGTGGGTATTAATAAATTGAACTAAATTCTATTTACTAGGATATATTATCTCCTTATTTTCATTTATTAATTTTTCATAATAAATTTCCAAAAATATTTCTTTTTTTTAATTCTATTAATTTTTGATATATATGTTAAAATAAATTCATATAATCATGGATATAAACTTCAAAAATGAAGGAAGGAAGAAAGAGTAAAAAGTCAATACGACAAAAAAAATTTTACAGCTTGTTTTCAAACATTAATTCAAGTACTTTTAAAAAAAGAGTATTAAATAAAATGTTACCCTTTGGCAGAAATAAGCAAAAAATAGAAAGAATAAATTGTAAAATAACAACTAGATATAGTAACAGCACAAACTATTAAAAAACAACAAGTAAGAGTTATCAATGAAAGAACTGATTAAATAGTTTGAATTAACTATGACAAAAGAAGGGCAAACATTCTCTTCAACAATACCTCCATCAATCTATAGCCAAAGTTATGTTACTGGAAAACCAAATGAAAGAGATAATTGGTGTAATGAAAATAATGAAACAAAATCATTTACCATCGTTATAGTTGGAGATGAGGGTGTTGGAAAGATGTGTTTAATTAACCAACTTCTGGTTTGTTTATTTTATATTATCTTGTCAAATGTTTAATTTATAGTACGGTTATTTTAAAGACAGCAATAAATCAACAAATTGTAATACAAAAAATTATTATGTTGATGGCAAAGAAGTATTTTTAAATGTAGTTTGTTTTTTATATAAATACAAACACCTTTTTTAAACTTATTTGTCATAGTGGAATTATAATGGTAAACAACAAAAATCAATGATGTCAAGAAGTTACTATGAAGGATGTAATGCTGTCATTGTAGTATTTGATATTTCTGATAGAACAACATATGAAAGTGTTAAAGGATGGTTAAAAGATGTTGGATATTATGCACCTAAAGACATTATCAAATATCTTGTAGGAAATAAAACTGATTTAGCTGCAAATAGAATTGTTTCTAGTCAAGAAGCACAAGATCTTGCTAAAAGAGAAGGATTTGAATTTATTGAGACAAGTGCTAAATCAAATAACAATGTAGATGTGTTGTTCCAAGATTTAATAAAAAAACTTCTTTCTGAGCCTCCTAGATTAACAAATAAACATGTCTCTGAAGAAGAAGAAGAAACATTAAAAACTAAAACTTCATTTAAACAAAACCATTATCATTCTTGTTGTACTGTCTTGTAAATCATTCATTTTTTTATATATTTGTAAAAACGTTTTATTTAACAAAAATAATTAAAATTTATTTTATTCCTCATTTTCTTCTTTCTCTTTCTTAGTTTTTC